GGCACCATCAGCTTTCTTCACCACATTTGCTTATGCATCCCTTTGTCCTCAGCGATTGTGTCGGGAAGGTGAGCATCATGGAATAAGGCTTGCGTTTTTATAGAAGCAAGAAGCCTCATCATTCTCCCTCCGAGTCACCAGTGGCTTCCAGCCATCGACCCTTCAGCTAAGAGTTGAGCGCTTTACCCACAGTGCTGCTCACTCAAACCAAACCCGAAGTCGCTGAGGCGATTCTGACTTAGAGTTGCAGAGACTGAATTAGGGTTGCCAAGACTGCTCATCCTTACAGAAGAGACTGCTTTGCCTTGCTTCTAGGGATCAGCTAGTGGCCTTGAACCACAGACCTCTTGGGTTTGCAGCCCAGTAAGTAACCCACCCTGCCACCAGACTCCCTGGGGCTCTGTTCACTTCCCTTAACTCATGGACGGCAGATGTGGCACTGGAGTGTGCTGGCTTCCTCTCCGGGGTGGGCCTGGACACCACCGTGATGATGCGCAGCATCCCCCTGCGGGGCTTTGATCAGGTAGTGTCGCCTCCGCCCACACCCATCCCGAACACTGACCCCGGGGCCTCCCCACTCCTTCCCTCCGAGCAGCCAAGTGGCCATCATTCTAAACAAAGAGGAAGACCCTTCCCAGGTTGGGCTGGCATTGTGGCTGTCACCACGGGCTCACACATGGGGACAGTAGGGAGGGTGGCGCAGGGCTGGGTGGTGTTGGGTTCTGTTGTATGTGTGGGTGCTATGAGCCCAGGGACAGCTCAGCGGTACCTCACAACACATGAAAAAAATGCCAGCGTGTACGTGCCAGAGAGGAGACCGAGGCTGGGGAGTCTACATTAGTGCCATCCATGCCACATGCCCTGGGTGCTCCTGGTGGGTGGCTTTGTGACCCAGTGTAGCCCAGTAGATGTGGCTGGCATAGTGGCACAGGCGCGGCCCTCACCTGGGAGAATCCCAGTCCCAGCTTCCTCCTCATTGAGCCTCTTCGGGGTCTACATGGACTGAGCCTCGCCCAACTTCTAGACAGCCCTAGGATGGTGGGATCCTACCGGACCCTTAACCCCACCCACCACCCCCAAACCCAACTCATTCCCATTGAGTCCATGCTGACCACAGTGACCCCTAGAACGGGAGAACTGCCTCAGTGGGTGTCCAAGGCTGTCAGTCTTGACGGGCAGAGCCCCTCATGGTGCTCCCTAGGAGTGCCTGGTGAGTCCTTTGAGTCATTGACTTTGTGGTTAGCAGTCAACGCGGAACCCACTGTGTCACTAGGGGTCTTTGTAGGCTGTGCCCCAGCCGCTGTAGACAGGTGGGCTGCCCCCTGCAGGGCCGCCCTGGGTCCCAAGTGAGCGATCCTCCACTACAGTCATCATCGTCTGGCTCATCACTCAGCACCTCCCTGCCCAGTGCTTATGATGGACAACCAGACTGGGGCCTGGAGGCACTGAGGGAGGCACAGCGAATGGGGACCAGAGACGTAGGGTGTGTTTGTCTGGGTAGACTAGAGAAACAAATCCATGGACACACATACATGTCTAAGAAAGAGATTTATATACAAGAGCAATGGAACATTGAGAAAACAGCCCAGTCCAGATCAAGTCCATAAGTCTGATATTAGCGCATATGTCTGATGCCAATCTATAAAGTCCTCTTCTAAAAAAAAAGTCCTCTTCAGACTCATGAAACACATGCAATGTCGCCAAGTGTAGAAGTTAACAGGCCAGTGTGTGGGAAGTCTTTGGATCCAGTGGCGATGTAAGCATCCAGCACTGGCAGGGGTCTCTACATGGCTTGTCTGGATTCAGAGGTCTGGTTGCATCAGGGTAGGTCCATGTGGCTTGTCAGCTGCAAAGTCTCCCAGGGAGTGGCGTAGAGCGAAGTGTCTGCCGCCTCCAAGGAGGAAGTAGCGGGTTTCTCAAAATTCTCAGGAGAAGGCCATGCCCACACAGGCCTTGACTATTATCTGATTGACAAGCTAGACTTCACCCCTACACTCTTAATCCTCAAATTGACAAACGATTATACATCTACCACATAGGGGTAGGGGGTCTAGTTGGAGGGAGGTCTGCAGGGTTTGAGTCCCTGGGAGATGAGTGGGTGAGGGACAGTGGACTTGGGACTGCTGGGGAGAGTGGGGGGTGGAGCATGGGTGGGCAGCAGGAGGCAAGGGGACCTCAGGGGCCTAAGTCTGTGCTGACAGGTCTGGGGTGGGCTTCGTCTCTTCACCAAGGCGCTTGGGTAATTGTCATGTGACCTGGCTCCTCTGTCCTAATCTGCTCCTTTGATACCTCTACTACAAGTGGCTTAGAACCTGTTCCTTTGGTACCTTAGAACCCACCCTCCCCTACTGTTGCCTTTCCACAAAGCAAAGAACCCGTTCCCAAGTGAGAGTGGGAGCACATGCAGCAGCAGGCTTAGAGCGATCCGGAGAGTGAGTGGTGTTGGTATGTCAAAGTGGCCCAGCTTCCACTCGGGCTTAGGAATCACACAATGACTCTGGTGGGCCCAGGAGAACCAGGACCCTCAGAACACCCAGAATTAAGCAGGCAGGATGACTGGTGGCCCATGAGTGGTCTGTACCCTGTAGGGTCTCCAGGGAATAGGACAAGGTCAAGGTGCCCCCAGAAGCAGGTGTGGCCAGAACACATAGCCCCTGGAGCAAGGCCACAAAGAGTGGCACGTGCTTGTTTCAGGGAGTAAGACACACGTGCCTGTTTCTGTTCCAGAGGGGCCAAAGCGGGCCCGGCAATGTCTGCTCAGACCACGGCTGGCCGGCCAGTGTCGTCAGGCACTGTGAGGTTGAAGAAGGGCAAGGGACCTTGGGACCAGGGCCACCGCACCCCGGGGGCCCGGCCTTTGCTACAAGAGGCCCTTGGTTCCTGGGGCTTAGACACAGCTGTCCTGGACTGCCAGGAAGGGGTTGGTACACCTGTGCAAATGTCAGGTGTTTGCTCCTAGGAGGACTTACATAGCGACTGTTTATTTTCTCCTGAGAGAAGAGGCAGTGAGCCAGCCATGCCTCTGCCTACTGCAGCTGAACATCTGCTCCCACGAGCTTTTCCCTGCCTGGGCCCCCATTGCGGCCAAGTGCCCCCAGCTCTCCCAGGCCGGAAGGGAGAGCGGGTGGCCTCTTCACAGATTAAACCCCTCACCTGTGTAAGGGCAGGGGAGGGGCCACCCAATGACAGAGGAACGAGTCTGGCCACATGGCGGGTACCTAGTGGCAGCCCTACACAAGCAGACGTGTTGGCAGGGGCTTGCGGTGGGCACTGCAGCTACGTCTGGTTAGCTTGGGGGCAGGGCAAAGGAGACAGATTGCTTCTTTGCCCACAGTGTCTTGGAAGAAGTACAGCCATAATGCTTCTTAGAAGCGAAGCTATGGGGAGACTTCACCTCAGCTATTTTGGACATGTTCTCAGGAGGGACCAGTCCCTGGAGAAGGCCATTACCTACTTCAACAAGTCATTCCAACGCACAGTGACACTATCAGACAGGGCAGAACTGCCCTGTGCGTTTTCAAGGCTGTCAATCTTGACAGCAGTAAATAGCCTCAACTCTCTCTCCTTGAGCGCCTGGTGGCTTGGAACTGCTGCCTTGTGGTGAGCAGCCCAATTTACCCTCCTACACGACCCAGGAGAAGGACCCTCGGAGCAGGACCCCATGCTTGGTAGAGGGTCAGCGATAAAGAGGAAGGCCCTCCATGAGATGGATCGACACCGTGGCTGTGACCACAGGCCCACACAGCAGTCATTGCGAGGATGACAGTATTTCATCCTGTGCCATGGACCCATTCATCCAGCTAGCTGGAGCCAACTAGAAGACACCTAACAACAAAATGAGATTGCACTAGAGAAGAACCCAGGGCATTTTGTCTGTCTGTCCAGGGTCGTTGTGAGAGAAATGCCACAAAAAAGTGACTTCCACAGACAGAAATGTGTTATCGTCCAGGTTAGGAGGCTAGAAGTCTGAGCCCAGGGCCCTGGTTCTAGGGGAAGACTCTGTGTGTGTGTGTGTGTGTGTGTGTGTGTGTGTGTGTGTGTGTCTGGGGGAAGACCCTGGGCCTTTTCAGCTTCTGTTCTGTGGTGATCTGCACGTGACCTGGCACCTCTCTTCCCCCAGCTTCCCTTGTTTCTCTGTCCCACTCCCTTTTTATGGCTCTAAGGCCATTGGAATAGGATCACTGGCTATGCATTGGACTGCTAACTGTAAGGTCAGCAGTTCGAAACCACCAGCTGTTTTGTGGAAGAAAGTGGAGGCTTTAATCTCGTTATGAGACGGGAGATGGACTCACTGGCAGTGAGTTTGGTTTGGGAGTTTAAGGAATTATAATCATGGCCTTTTGAGTGGTCATGCCCATTCATAGAGAGCCTATAGGACAAAGTCCAACCACTCCATAAGCTTTCCAAGGCTGTCAGTCCTTATGGGAGCAGAAAGCCTCATCTTTCTCCGACAGAGTAGTTGGTGAGCTTGAACTGCTGACAGGCATAAAGGTTAGGATTCACAACACATGTTTTTTGGGGGGATACACGTCAAGACAACCCACCACATGCTCTTGACTCAAGGATCGGAAACTAGCTAAGGCACCAGGACAAACCGAAGATTCCTGGCCCAGCATCCAGCTTTAGAGTTGGGGTGTGTGTGTCCTGAGGGAGGTCCCCATCAGAAGGGTGGTGGATACCTTCTCCTCCAGACCTTCTTAGTGACCCTGAGGAGCCTTCTTGCCTTCAGCCAGCTGGGAGGAGCCAGTCTGGGGCAAGGCCTGCCCTGGTGTCTCGACTATGGTGTGACACTGCTTTTCACATACCTTCTCTTGTGCCTGCAGCAAATGGCCTCCTTGGTGACAGAACACATGGCATCTCACGGCATCGAGTTCCTCCAGGGCTGCACGCCCTTGCGGGTTGGCAGGCTCCTGGACGGCCGCCTCCAGGTGACCTGGCAAGAACACGCCTCTGGCAAGGAAGACTCGGGGACCTTCGACACTGTCCTGTGGGCCATTGGTAAGGGCTGCTAGGCCACACCTATGCACCTCCCAGGTCCCCAGGTAGAGGTCAGGGGATGGCAGTCCCTGGGAAAGGGTCCTCATCTCCTTCCTTTCAGCTCCAAGGGTCTTTGTCCCCTGCTGGCCTGGGCGAATGGCTGCTACCTAGGACCCCTTGACTCAGGGCCCATTGAGCAGCACACCGGTCCTCCTGTCCCAAGCATTGTGTCACTCTAATATGACCTGACCTTGTTCAGGAAGCGCACAGCAGCCAGGTGGCGAACAGGCAGCTGAACCCAACCAACTCCACTGCCAGCAAGCCTGTTCTGATGCAAAGCGACCCTGGAGAACTGAGTAGAGCTGCCCTCGGGGCTTCTAGTTCAGCCATGGGCACAATGGTGAGGACGGTGCAGACTGTGTCGTGCTTCATTCTGTTGTGCGTAGGGTCACTGCGTCGGAATTGACTTGATGGCACCTAACAACAGCAACATAGGGCTTCTGAGATTGTTGGTCTCTCTGGGACCAGACAGCCTCACTTTTCTCCGGAGGAGAAAGTCGAACTACCAGCTTTGCCGTGAGCCGTCATTCCAGTGCGCAGCCAACTAACCCACCAGGCAGTTCCAACTCACTGCCATTGAGTTGACCCCACGCAGACTGGCCCTGCAGGACACAGGAGAACTGCTCCCCAGGCCAGCAGAGGCTGTATGCGGGCAGCTTTGTTCGGTGCTGTCCAGTCGGTTCTGACCCATAGCAACCCCATGCACAACAGAACAAAACACTGCCCAGTCCAGCACTGTTCTCACAATTGTTCCTTTGCCTGAGTCCGTTGTTGCCGCCTCTGTCCATCCATCGCATCGAAAGTCTTCCTCTTTTTGCCTTTTTCCCCTCTGCTTTATCAAGCATGATGTCCTTCTCCAGGGACTGGTCTCTCCTGCCAACCTGTCCAACTAATGTCAGATGCAGTCCTGCCACCCTTGCTTCTAAGGAGCATATTCTGGCCGCACTTCTTCCAAGACAAATCTCTGTTCTTTTGGAAGACCATGGCACTTTTAATATTCTTCTCCAGCACTACAGTTGAAAAGTCTCATCTACACAGGAGACTAACCGGTCCTCCAGACTCCTGTACCCTTGCAGGGGGTCCTCCGACTACAGCCCGCGGGCCACACCGGGCCCGCCGAGGACATTTATCCAGCCGCCAGATGTTTTTGCCCCGTTTGTTTTTTTACTTCAAAATAAGATATGTGCAGTGTGCATAGGAATTTGTTCATAGTTTTTTTTAAACTATATAGTCCAGCCCTCCAATGGGTCTGAGGGACAGTGAACGGGCTCCCTGTTTAAAAAGTTTGAGGACCCCTACTTTAGAGAGATAACGTATGAAGGTTCTAGTTCAGAAGTCCTTGTCTGTCCCAGCTAGGATTCACCCTCTGCTGTCAAGTCGACTCGGATCCACAGCCATTTACAGGACAGAGCAGAACTGCCTTCCAGGCTGTCCGAGGCTGTCCATCTTTATGGGACTCAGACTGAGCTGACTGCCTCATCTCTCTCCCGAGGTGAAGTTGGCGGGTTCAAAGCACACCTGGCAAGTTAGCAACCCAACACGTAACCTGCTGCCCCGCCAACATGCTTTCTAGGAGCCCAGCTGTAGTTCTTTTCAGCGGTGAGAGCCGGTTTGTTTTTGCACTAGTCATGCGTTTCTTTTTCCAACATTTTTATTGCCACACAATTCACATATCATACAATTGAATATTTTAATTGTTCATTCATATCAAGGGAAATTGTACAAGTACCACGAGATCTATTTTCCATGACAGTTTCAAGCTGGCTGCTGTTAGCACCTGTGAATAATGCAGACTTGTAGGTTGTTTTTGACAGTGGTGCTTTTACGGCTTCCGGTCCTTTCCAATGGCTGGCTCCGGGCCCTGCGGGGTCATCACGTGCTAGGAGGGAGCCTACTGCCTGTATTGTGACCACTCTGTACAGGTTCCCAAGATATAAGAGCAACTATTTATAGGCTGGATCCTCTCTGCAGCCCCAAGCAGGTTCCCTGGCACCCTGGGCCCTTGAGAAGAAAGGACCCTGGTACAAACCCTGCCTGGGGTGGGATGGGCAGTTGGAGCCAGGGACGGGGGAGTGAGTCTGGAGAAAAGGCAACCTGGCCTGGATCCCACCTCACAGGGGAGAGTCCAGATGGCATCCCTACTCCGTTCCTGCTGTGTGCTCCTAGAGCCTTCTGTGTGGAGCCTGCTGCATGCTGTGTGCTCCCAGGGACTGCCTGCACCCAGGGCCTTCCACGTGAGGCCTGCTGTGTATGACCCCAGGAGTGCTGCGCGAGGCCTGTTGCGTGCTCCAGGCCTGCTGTGTGTGCTCCCAGGAGTGGCTATGTGAGGCTACTGTGTGCCCCCACGAGTGGCTGTGTGAAGGCTGCTGTGTACCCCAGGACACTCTCTTCCTCTGTGATGACAATGCCAGGCTCAGATGTATCACACCTGCTCCGGAGCCCCCACCTGCCTGCCACCTGTGCTTCCCAGCTTTCTCTGCCATCCTGTCACTTCACCAGTCAGAAGGTGAAGTGCTTTTTAGAGAAGGTGGTCTGCTTCCCTCTGTGCTCAGCATGAGTGGACATTAGAGAGAGAACACAGGGTTCCTTCTGGGTGAGCCTCCCAGACTGGCCAAGCTGGGAAGGGATCCGAGAAGCCCACAGGGAATTTTGGACATCTTGACTTAAAATGGACAGATGACCCAAAGTGCATTTTAAGGGGTTTTGGTCGCATGAACAAGAGCCCTGGTGGCACAGTGGTGGAGTGCAGGCTGTTTGAAGCCACCATTGGGTCGTTAGGAGACAAATGAGGCTGTCTGCTCCCATGAGGATTTGCAGTCTCAGCTTTATAACCCCATGGGGTCACTGTGAGTTGGAACCCACTTGGCAGCAGGGGTTTCTTTTCTTGGTATCAGAAGCGATGCACTTCTGGTGGCTCAGTGAGTTAAGTCTTGGAGCAGCTTAATGGAAAGATCCGTGGTTCAAGCCCACCAACTACTCCCTGGGAGAAAGATGGACTTTATTCACTCTCTGCCAGGGAGTCAGTCCCCACTCAGAGCCACCCTCTAGGACAGGGGAGAACTGCCCCTGTGGGTTTCTGGCACACTCCATGAAAGAGTGTGTAGCTTCTCAGACCTTGAGGGCTAAGCAAACCTTTATTCTCTGCAGGTCCGTTTTCCTATGAGGAGGTGACAGGGTCCTGCCCTCCCCATGGACACCCCTTCTCTGTGTCTCCACACCCCACCGAACACCATGATACCTGCTGCCCAGAGGGCTGTGCCCCCCACTCCCCAAACTGCCTCCTGCCCCCCACCGGGAGTCAGGCAGATTTTCACGTACTTTCCATGAGCATGTCCCGAGACAGCCCGCCCAGCATGATTTATGCCATGGGGAGAGCGCTCAGAGCCCTTGACCTCTGACCCTGGCATCCCAAGCAGTGCGCAGCAGGAGGCAGCGGCTGGGTTTGGGCTCGTCCGGTGGGGCTGCTAGGGCATGTGTGGGCTCCGCCACGGGCTTCCGGGCCATAGTTTTGTAAACATTCAACCGGGAACTGGGAATGTTTTCTGCTGCTAAATGGATAAACCTCCAAAGCCCAGCTCCACACGCTGCCGCGGCATGGATCCCAGCTCCCAGCGACCCTCGAGGACAAGTTGACGGGCCCCAGAGGGTTGTCGAGACTGTCTGTTTTCATGGAAGCAGACAGCCTCATCTTCCTCCCGTAGAGGGGCTGGTGGACCTTTTGATGAGCAGCCAAATGCTTAACCACAGGCGACCAGGGATCATCCCCCAGACCAAACCCACTGATACTGACTCTGACTCCTAGTGGCCCTGTAAGGAACCTTGATAGTAGTGAGAATGTGTTGGGCTATTAACCACAAGGTCATCAGTCCAAAACCACTAGCCAATTCTGCTGGAGCAAGATGGGGCTTTCTACTCCTGTAACTCTTTAGTTATGGCCTCAGAGACTCATGGGGGCATTCTACCCTGTCCTGTGGGGCTGCTGTGAGGCAGGATGGACGCGATGGCACCTAGTTTGGTTAGGTTAGGGACCCTGTAAGATGCCGTAGGGTTTCTGAGGCAGGCAATCTCTATGGAAGCAGATGACCTCAATTTTATCTCATAGAGTGGCTGGTGGCTTCAAACCACCAACATGGTGGTTAGCAATCCAACAGTTAATACCCTGCACCACCAGGGGTCCTGGTCAGCCATTAGCCAGGCATACTTGCTCCATGCAACAAAAGACAGTCTGCTGGGGGTGGGAAGCGTGGTTAAAATCTGGTGCTGTCGGGTCGTCCCACCAGCCCTGGAGCTGTTTCCTCCTGGGGTGTGAAGGGAGGGAATGAGCCAGCCCAGCACGCTGGGCTCTAAACACACACGGGGGCGGACAGAGAGGCTCGGGCCGTGGCCCTGCTGCCCACGTGGCCCCACGGAGTGGAGGAGTCTCAGGATGAACCCCCAGTCCCAGTGCAGCCTTGATCTCCATTGGGGGGATTAGTCGCATGAGCCCGTAAGGCCCTTAATTGCTGCGCAGGGGCCGATTCATTGTTTGCCTCTGAATCACCGCCCACACCAGGTGTCTCAGATAATAGGCTGGGAACCCGCCGCACGAGGATTTCCTGTCTGCTGATGTGCCGATTAGGGCGCTGAGTGAAGACAGTCAGCCCTCTGCTCGCTGCTCCCTTGGCTTCGCCCCTCTCACTTAACCACTTGTGGCCCAGGCCCAGGCTGTCACTTGTGAGCATGCGTTGGGCAGGCATTGGTCTGGTGTGCTTTGCTCGGAAGGGACAGAGTGGTGCCTTCCAATTGCAGCCTTAGGGGAAGCCGGAGCGGAAACTGCCTCTTGCCCTCCTCAGTCACCTAGTCCCTCTGGTGGCTTTCTGTCCCTTCCTGCTGAGCAGGGATGGAGCTCTGATGCTTGAAGCCTGGCAGGTGACCTTCCAGGGGTCCTGGCTATGGCTACAAGAGCTGGTGTGCGTGCGGGG